AAACGGAAGCCAGTTTTCTCTCGGTTTCTCCCGGGTGAACTTTATGTACTCGGACTGCTCGTTCAATAATTCGAAGCATTTGTCCATCTCCTCCTGCGTAGAGAAGACGACAAAACAATCATCTACATATCTGCAGTAGAGTAGTGGCCGGAGATCGAGATCAGGGGCTTCTATCTTAGACATAAACACAATGGCCAGACTTGGTGCCAATCGCTGTCCCATTGCCAACCCACTTATTTGCGCGAAATATTTCCCAGACCATCTGAAGATCGAGCAGTTTAGGCACTCCTTTAAGAGAGCCATTAGCTGCTGGATGGACAAGTCATGCATATTTATTCTTCCTTCAGTCCAAAACACCAGCGCGAAAACTCCTACAGGCTTTTTGGATCAATGCCAAGAACCCTACAATGAATAGCAGGGACGAATGCTCGGAGGTCATACGCGACCTGATCCCGTACGTTCGCATCGATTTTTGATGTGGGATGGTGCATTCGTCAACCACATGCGACTATAATCAGCTGTTCTAAACTTCCTCATTGGAAGTCACGAAAAAGCGATGGGTTTTTCGAGAAGTTGTTGATTGTGTAATTGCCGGAGAGTTCTTCGTCTTTTTGTAAGTGTTATTGAAGCGTTTGGCCTAGTAGATTGTATATCAGTATACCCTTCCAGGCTCTGAAGAAGGCGATACTGCCGAAACGTCAGCTAGCGTTGTATTGTATTGTGTTTTTATGGAAGTAAATGTATGCTGTTTAAAAACCTCGCGATTGCTGAACAAGAAAACGACACAATGTTTACTACCAAAAAGACTATAATAAAAGAATTTATTGGAAAAAAACAGAAACTGTTGGAAATGTTCAGCAAGCGCGAACAGAGCAACACCATTTTTGTATAAAACAGGAGATGATGTGATTACGGCTGAACAGAAAAAGAACTGAAAATTTCTTTCAATGACAATACACGCAAAGCGAACATCATAACCTTAGAATATGAAACAACTGTGTGATAGTTTAGAAGGGAGTGGTCCATAACTCTGGCAAGTGCCCTGCATATCCTCTTTTCACTAATTCACTTTATGACTGTGACTATAATACAGTACGCTTCCATCATGTGATCACAAGTAGAAAACGAATTAACACACAACGACTCTAATGCGTACGGCGTGAGCAGAGTCGACTGTACGCGTTGATGCCAATGCATATCCTTTCACACTGTTCATTTTGCCACTAAGTTTATTTACGATATTTTTCATTCTGTGGATAGCTTATCTAACACATATGCTGTGCATGGCGTGAACTGTGAAAAGCTGTTCTCTGCAATTAGTAATTTACAAAACATCTATCTTCACGCGGATGACGTTTTCAGTGCATGCCATGGAATAAAACATTGCTCCCATGGTCCTGAGCGATCACGTAAAATGAGGCATAGCGTTGTATATATCTCAAGCACAGAAAAGTAGTCTTCGCTTATATAACTATCAGATCGAGACAACCTTTCACTGGTAAAGCAGTGAGAAATCTGTAGCTTTACCAGCAGTATGAGGCAATTTTGTGATGTAAATAAATGGAGGAGTTTACCGAATAACTAACTTTATCATCATCAACTCATCTCCTCGATTAAAGGCTACTAACAGAAGTTCCTATTTGTAACCGTTGCGCGAAGAATGCGCAACAGCTATATGACCGAATCAAAATGGTTAGCCACATCGAACTGTGTTGCTTCTAGTACATTCTCACACAAGATATCAAGGCCGATATCAGGGACGAGTACCCATAATTTGATCGGCGGTAAGTGGGTACATCGCTCCTGGCATCGGAACGAGTGTGTCGACGCCCAGTGGGCGCAAAATGCTCGAGCTGGTACGTCGTGTCTGAAATTAACAACAATTCAGCAAACAAGCACTGTAGACGCTCGTTAAAGCCCTTTTAAAGATGATTCCCTTAAAACGTTACCGTTTATTGACTCAGTCTGAGGCTGGTGAAATTCGCTGTGAGCATAACGGTACCTGGATTTGAAGGTGTCAGACATTGGAGCAAACGAATGAGTTCTAATGTGTCGATATGGGCAGTGTTTCCACATTTCAAGCGCTGCATTTCTAGCCACATAAGCTTCATAAAGCACAGAAGCGAAATCGAAATCTTTCTACTAAACCTTTACATCGCAATTTAAACGTACATTATAGTGCAAATATTGATTCTGATCATTCTCCGAACACAAGAGAAACTCTATAATATCCAGCCCTATGTTTTCTTCATAGTTGGAGCTGAGGTTGTTAGTAAAATATCTATACCACGAAGACATTTATCACTCATGTAAACCCTATGAATCAGACCTCCCTCACTAGGTGAGAGTCACGCAAAAAAAAAAAACGGGCCTCAGGAAGGAAATTCGCCGAAACGCCACCCATTTTGTCGAGGCTAAAAGAATCCGTTCTAAGAAAATTCAGTCTCGTTTCTAGCCCGGGTTTTTGCAAAACGCCCATTTGAAATTCGATAACATGGAAGAAACCACTGTAAATAATGTCTTCAAGGGTACGCAACACCTTGTATTTTCATTCTTTTCACTTACTTTTTCTTACATTTTCCTTTCATTCTAGGAGAGCGTGGGGCACAGTGGTTTAATGCGCTGCGCCCTGCCATACACATGGGTTCGATCCAGCATCCCAGGCCGATCAATCCTTCCATCGCTCCAAAATCGACAAATTGGTACCAGAGCTGTGTGGGAAGAGACCGGCACTGGCTCAATACATCGGTAGAGCATCCTGAGTCATTGGAAAGGCCGGATATGCACTCGATCACTTCTAACGATGTTTAATGAAGTTGAATGCATAGCGCCTCCCTCAGAGATTGATCATCGCTGCGAGCTTTATCCTTTTATAGTATTTTATATACTCATTCTAAAAAATCTGGGCTACAGAAAAAAGATGAAAGGATAGTCGACTTTCCGGATGAGATCCCCGAAAAAAGTATTAAATTCCTTAGAATGTGTGCGGAGAGTAGATGAGCAATTGAAAGTCCATGGAAACCTTTGCAAACCAGGAAACATCAAAATCTCTCCTTAATTTTGACATGCAGAGGGGAAAAAAGAACAACGCTAGCTATTACACTCCTTTTCTTTCGTCTGAATACCAGTGATTATGGCACACATGTTTCCCACTTTCTTTCCATGCAAAACTGGGAGAGGAAAAATAAGAAAATGATGAATGAAGAGAAAAAACGATAAGACGAAGAAGTGGAATGATTAACGTCTATCCTTTAATCACTTTTCTTTAAGCAACAATCTTTACTATCTTTCTTTCGTCGAAGGAAGAGTTGTACCCATCACTTAAACCATTCTTCATATTGGATTAACGGACGGATTTTGCAGTAAGTCGAAGATACACTGCAAGCACTTCAAAACGTCTGAGATGCAGTATAAAGCAACAGCAAAAAATTCTACTCCGCTTTAACATAAATATCATTCATCTCCAGTAGCGGCTTTTTTGGACTCTCAGGGTGTAATAGTTAGAGATGCTCTGCGATGCACATGATCATTGGTTCGATCCCGCCAACTCCTCTGTACAAGTTTACCATTCTTTTGGCATTAGCAAATTGGTTCTAGACTTTCCTTGAAGTTTAAAAACACTGATTCGGAAGTCTCTTACAAATTTGTAGGCCAGATATGCAGCATAGCACACCTCTGAAAGACAGACCAACGCTATATCTCTCATCTTCTTAGTAGTAGTTTAGTTTGCGAGCTCTACCTACCCAAGATATAGTCTGCCGTTCTTAAATGCATCCATCCTACCATACCATTAAAATAGCACTAGATGGCCCCCTAAAAGAACATCGTAATCGGCCACTTTTAACTGATTGACTAGAATGAGCAACAAATCAGAAAAACCTAAAGACTTCCCCAAAAACGAAGTCAAATCTTACTACATAGATATCGCAACTGTAAAGCTATTAGAAAATAATCTCTGTGTAGATTAAGACCACCAGTGACACCCCACATAGCCGTTCGCGCCTTCTAGAAATCGATTTTCACGCTAGGCTAATTCTTGGCCATTACTGAAGTAATGGCGTTCGTAGGTGCTAAGCTTGAAGCAAAAAAAGATGGCATGTAAATGAAAAAGAAAAACAGCGAAATGCGAAAACACGAAATGACATCAAAGCATACCATAACTGAGCACATTTCTTTAGGGAACAAGAGGGACGAGTCATAGATCGAGTACGTCGATTGTGGTACGTGAAGCCGTACGCGACTGATTGCTCATATTACCCAGAGATCCGCTATTGGATTTACGATCTGCCGATACATATTGTATTCGTTCGTCAAATATCTAAACTGTGAAAACAATAGCTACGGTTCAATGCAAAGCAAAGAAAAACTGGGTATGGGTATTTAACCAACTAACGGGAGCATTCGTGATCGGTCTATACTCTTTACGGTACTGCATACGGAAAATCCTACAAGTGATAAAGCTAAGCACAAATGGTGAACACCATGCGGTAATCAATTCGTATGAAATGCATAGGCATATAATGTGAAGCCGTGCGAAACTAATTAGAATAAGGAACCCGTTTGCAATTCATTATTCATAATGCCGCTTCGGCAGCCAATGCTATAGGAATAATACCCAGTCTCCAGGCAACCGGAAACTATGCTATGGGGGTTTTGACTGGTGATGGCTACCCAAGTGGAAATCGGAACTAAAAGATCTTGTTTTTGCGTCATGAAATCTCCATGAAGCGACGTTTTAACTTAACTATACCTTGTGGAGATCAGATAAGATAAAACCATCTCGATGAGAAGAAACAAAAGGAAAGTGGTCCTTTATTCTATATTCTATTGCAGAAATTAGATTCATGGTGGAACATTAGCATCAGCAACTCCACATACTATATTCCTATTTACTGATTATTCAGATAATCTTTCAGATAACTCTTCCCATGTAGCTTGATTGGAGTATACACCGATCTCGAATGAATGAATGAATGATAGGTGTCGGTTACTTAACACAGTCAATCGCAATCGCAGATGACCTGTACGTTTCCACCTCCGGGTTTGTGACCTATATTATCTCTGGAACCGACTTTGCTGGTGGCATGCCACTGGAGTTTCTGATCGAGAATCTGAAGGCGAGCGGCAGAAAAGCTGTTGAGAACAGCAACGACGAAACAATACTACGACGAACGTCAACGGCGAATGATGAAAAAACTGGAGCAGGACCAATTCTCTTACCTGTACGTTACCACCGGCCGGTTTATGCTTCACATTATCCAGAGAGCCGATCTTTGATCGAGCCGCCCAATTCAACTTCTGACTGATTGCCTTCAACAGGAGAAAAACTTAATGCCTTTCATTCTCATACAGTTATTTTTTCCCATAGCATTTCATCACATCTATGCATACCAAATCCTTCCAAGCTGAAGTGGAAAAGAAATCTATTTGGTATACATCATTTCTATGTCTAGTAATTCTTAAGACCGACTTTCTGTTAACCTCGACATTGATATAATTTGCCATTTCCTTGATAGGAATGCGGTTGCCATTGTATTTTATTTATTCACAACAGCCAACTCTTCAGCGGATTTCGCTTTCTTCGAAGCCTACAAAGGTTAAGTTAGCTGCAACCTGGTCAGCAAAACACCTTCATAACCCCAACAGCAGAACCACGATGCCTAGATTTCGATCTCATTCTAAACAATACAGCTTCTTTGCACACTCACCGCTTCCTATGAGTCTTCCCCTGAGTATTTCACTTGGAAACCAACCTCACAGAGTTCACATGGAAATTCACATCACACGTAATGTGAATTCTGTGTCCGCATAAAAGAATACTTAGTCGATAAACTTAAAGTTGAACCAAATACTCCACTAGGCACATACAGGACACAGAGACATAATGGGAAAGATTTTGAACTGGAAATCACCATTCTCGCACAGGAATCGAAACCTCAGCGCGTAGAACTTTCGAAGCATTCTGGTTAAATTCCAAAAATCCAAAAATGAACCGCAAAGAGAAAACCCTCGTTATAAAGCGTAATATCAAACAATATTTAAGACATATTTAAGCGTGAGAAAGGCGCATTACCGGCCCGTGTGAACTCTTCTATGCGGTTGGTCCCCACGTAGAATACTCATTGGGAGACTCATGGAAGGCGCTGAGTTCGCGAGGAAGCTACTCTGTTTTTAATGCGATTGGAATCTAGGTATTGTGGTTTTGGAGTCGAGGTTACGGAGGACTTTAACTGACCAGGTTGCGGATAGCTTGACCTTTCCAGGTTATGAAGAGGGCGAAATCCGCCGAAACCTCGGCTGCTGTGAATAAATAATATATCATAACCTCGTGAAAGCTTATCAAGAACATAGCAAATTCTATGTCCAGGTCAAAAACCGAAATGCTGTTCAGCAAACTGCAGCACGCCTTTCTTGGTTTCACCATTTCCATTGGTACATCGTGAAATGCCCATTTGTATGCGGCACGTTCAGACGTTTACTATTTTGCAGAAAATTTAAAGTCAAAAACAGAAAGTTAAGCACTAAGGGAATTTTCTGATTTGACCTGATCCTAGTTTTTAGGAAAACGAGAGCAAACCGAAAATCGTAAGGATACGACATAGTGCAGAAGCAATGCCAAATGATGGCAGATATCGTGCGATCGATCCCGTTTCATATTGAGAGAAATGTGATTGAAATCTATTGATTGGTTATCACCTTCTTTTCTGGAATCGAAGGCACATAATCCGATTTTGCGTCGACCCTCGGCGTCGCTTTTTCTTTGAAATCCAACTTCATGTTCGGAATTCTTACATTTCCACCGCCTAAATTTCACTTTTAATTTCCTTAGTGAATTTTTCTTTCATCAATCAACTAACTTCCTAATTCCGGAAATTATCAATACAAAAATGTTGATGTGGATAATCGATGATTACTAAAAGAAACCTGGAGTGTGGGAGACGTTATTTAGCGAACCAATCTTCGACTGGACGTTGTAGGTTCGGTTTTCGGAGAAAATCTGCACATTACCCCCTTGTGGCTTGTGACTAGTGAACGAGCCGATTTTGCTAGAATTACATAGAATAATGCGAACTAACTGCTCAGTGAGGTTCTGCAGCGTTATCAGACTAGGAAATCACGGCCGTGTTGAGTCTGTAAGCTCGCCGAAGCTATGCATTTGAATACTGGAGTATGAACTTATAAAGGAAGAGATGCAGTAAGCATTCACAATGAAAGCGATAGATAAGTCAATTAGTTAGTTTTAGTCAGTCAGACTGCCAGTGCAATTCAGTGAACTCGGAAGAATGAAATTAGCACACCGTAAGTAGTGGGGAGATCTCATACGAATATAAGATGAAGGCTTCGATCAACCACTAACCTGGACACAGTGACCACTTTCCTGTGAACTTTGGGCGTAGTAGGCTGACTTATTGTTTTTGCTAAAGAAAAAACTATGATTGCTTATGTAGCTCGAGTAATAATAGTAGTAATAACTCGAACTCATTCTCTCCTCACTGCACATAGCAACAGAATGTAGTAAAAATTCTCAATAACAAGTGCCACCGATCAATTAAACATTCACAATGAAATTAGTGACAAAGAACATTGTATTTATAGGTATCTGACCAGTTTCTTATTAAAGGATAAAACGATAAAGCTATCGGCGTTGATCAATACCTGAGGGTGCGCCATGCATTCGATTTCGGTAAGCATCGTGTGGAGGTGATTTAGTTCACATCTGGCCTTTAAAATGACTCGCGGTAGCCTACCGATGCATCGAGTCAGTGCTGCTATCTTCCCAGACAAATCTGGCACCAATTTGACGACCCTGGAGTGATGGAAGGCTTGGTGCGCCATAGGAGCCGGGATCGATTCGACGTATGTTGTAGGGCGCCCCCGCCCACTGCGCTACACTTTTTTATTAGTACTACTTTATTAGTACAAATGAGTTCCTATCTTCTTTTACCACATTATTTATTAGCTGTTGCAATCTATTTGCTTGAATTCTTTACTAGCTGGTCTTTACTTGGAATTAAGTTCATCTCGCATATTTCCAATCTAATTACTTTTGTTAGCTAGTTTAATCGATTTTTTTTACTCAGGTCTCAATAATCCCCTGCTAGGCTCTTACCACAAGCAGCTGTCGCCTATTATGGATCACAGAGAAGCTTGTTGCTTGGCTACTGGGATTATTCAAAGAAGGAAACGATTCCTGGCAATCGTGACCGGGTTTCCTGGTGATGGTGTCGAAGTTTGTCTTGAATGGCAGTTCGATCCCCAACCCAAGAATAAATGGTGCACCATTGGCGATTGAAATCTACATAGATTAAAATGATATTGCAACTAGTTAGGTGAAAACAGCATACGCTTAGACTTTTCTAAACAGGCACTGTTCTTCCACAGAGGGAAAATCGCCCGTCGAACTTCGGCAGAAGAAAACGTTTGATTCAACGTTTACTTTGTGCAAGTGGAGAATAAAGCTGGTCAGTTCTATAAATCTACGGACTCCAAAATGGTGGGTAGTTGAGACCTTATTCGGAATGCTTTCACTATCATGTGCCCAGTACGATTTCGTTTCCTTCGTTCTCATACTCTGGTGATCTGACTTACTCTCAGCACTTGGTCGTGGTTGTGACTGCGTCCTACTCGTCGGTTTCTTAGACACTAGCTCCCTTTCTGCAGCTTTGGCAAATGATCTGGGTGCTGGAGGCCTAATAGTTCGTACACCAGGCAAAGGCGTCTCCGGCTTAGGCATGACGGAGCTATAAAGTTTCTGATTTCTATTTAGATAGGGAAAGTAGAATAAGAGTTAGATATACTGATAAAAAAGGTACAAGAAATAGAGTCTATCCAATTGTTATACGACGAAAAATTTCATATTTTTTTTCACCACGAAACTTCTATGCAAATGGTAAACCAAATATCTCCTGTTAAGGGAGAAATCACAACTAACTATCGAGAAAAATGTGTAACGTTTTGTTTTCTACCTTCTATAATTTTCATGGCAGGTTACTAAGTAAGCGAAATACAACCACAACGTTGCTGAGATATTTGCAAAACTCTTGAAAAAATTGAAACAAAGGACCACCAAAATTGAAACAAAGGACCCGCATGGTGTGGTGGTGAACGCGTTACTCCCCGGAAAGGACAATAGCGCGTTCGTTCCCCACCATAGACACCTGCGGTCCAGAGTTTTGCAAATATCTCAGCAACGTTGTGGTTGTATTTCGCTTACTTAGTAACCTGCCATGAAAATTATAGAAGGCAGAAAACAAAACGTTAAACATTGTGATTTCAACTACAGCCATAGCTTAACTGGGTTCTATGCCGATTTGCGCTCCCCAGATCAACCCCGCTGACGGGTGATTGCTGTGGCAAAAAGATCGATAGAAATAGCTGAGAGACGTGCGAAACAAAGGACCCGCATGGTGTGGTGGTGAACGCGTTACTCCCCGGAAAGGACAATAGNGTGTCTATGGTGGGGAACGAACGCGCTATTGTCCTTTCCGGGGAGTAACGCGTTCACCACCACACCATGCGGGTCCTTTGTTTCGCACGTCTCTCAGCTATTTCTATCGATCTTTTTGCCACAGCAATCACCCGTCAGCGGGGTTGATCTGGGGAGCGCAAATCGGCATAGAACCCAGTTAAGCTATGGCTGTAGTTGAAATCACAATGTTTAACGTTTTGTTTTCTGCCTTCTATAATTTTCATGGCAGGTTACTAAGTAAGCGAAATACAACCACAACGTTGCTGAGATATTTGCAAAACTCTTGAAAAAATTGAAACAAAGGACCACCAAAATTGAAACAAAGGACCCGCATGGTGTGGTGGTGAACGCGTTACTCCCCGGAAAGGACAATAGCGCGTTCGTTCCCCACCATAAACACCTGCGGTCCAGAGTTTTGCAAATATCTCAGCAACGTTGTGGTTGTATCGAGAAAAAAGTGAAGAGAACTAGAAAGTCGCCGTTTCCTGATTTAGGATTACAGTATAGATAACGGAGAATAGGCCTGCTGAGAACAGCTAATCATCAATCTCAATGGATTCAGCACAACAAAAGCAAGCGTGAGTTAAACCAAGTTTTTCTACAACTTCGCTTGCAAGCTAAAATGACCGACCTCGGTTAAAGCTATGCAAAAATGACAGGTGTCATGCTAACAAATTATTGTGGTTCTCGGGCGGTTCGATAAGCTGGCTGCAAGTTGAGGCACACTTTTTCATGGGTATTTGAACTCAAGATTGCTATGATCCAGGCCTTAATGGCAATTTCGCTTGTAGTTCAATTTTTAAATTATTCTTTAAAACTACTGCGCAACTTTGGTAGCGACATTCACCTTTGTAAATCAACAACAATACGTATTCTTAGGGCCATCTTACACCTAACAACTGTATTTCAAGCTAGAAACTATGTCTCATTCAACCACCTCTAATGTCCCATAAAGTGCTTTTCTTGCACAACCGGCGCTATCTATGCCAGACCAATAAACAAAAATGCAATTGCCGCTGGGTTAAACTGAATTTTACACGATCACAACGATCACATAAGTTGAGGATTCAAGTGAGGTATGTCTAGAGGTGGTTCAGAATTGCGACGAACTTGGCCAGAGAAGAGATAATTGCTCATAGTACTCGCACTGTTATGCACTACCCTTGGAAAAATTCTTCCAGACGGCGTCCACTATGTTGTAGAGTAGAAGTCTAATTTCTGGATCAGTTGAGGTTTCAGCTGAAGTATGCTTAGAGGTAGTCCGAATTGCTGTGAACGTGGCAACGTTAGACATTGTTCATAGTAGCCGCGTTGTTATGCACCACCTATGGAAAAATTCTTCCAGACGGCGTCCACTATGTTGTAGAGTAGAAGTCTATTTCTGAATCTTTCGCGGCTACACGTCATTTTGACACCAACCCATTTGACCTCAGTAAATTTTTATTCTAAGAACCAAGACTAGTTAACGCTTACAACATTGAAATGGTTTCCGTGAAATCTAACTAACCTCGATCCAGTAGCTGATTGTGCTCGATTAACCTGTGTCTGAGGTGATCTGAATGCAAGATCAATGAGGAACTATCGATCCTGTATTGAACACTATTTTGATGCTATGGTTAAATAAACAAATATGCTCTTGAAAACGAAATTCTTAAAAATATAGCCCAGTCAGCTTTTTTCACAGAAAAGGAAGTGTTCAGTTCTTTAAAGTTTTGCGCAATTTGAAACTAGTCATTACTTACGTGTGAATCACTCTATCCGGCGGTCGTGCCAGGCGACTCTGCGGTTTAACGTGTGCGACTTTGATTGGCTCCTGAAAAACTCGAGAACGATTAGCGAACTATTCAAGAACCTCAGTGGTTTAGACGTTGTTGAGATACATATCCTTCAGTTTTACAGTATTTTCATAAGAATGATATTACGCAATATTACGTAAAAAGAATACAATGAAGACAATCTATCACTAATGATATTTGATGCTCCAGTCGAGATCCGTGGACGATTTCTTCTTTGCTTTAACTTCTATTTACTACCTATTATTTCCTTTTTTCGTGACGGTATGCATAATTTCAAGGACGCTGCGATATTTCTTTCATCCGATTTGCGCTCCGCAGCTCATTTCCGTTAACGGATGACTGCTAATAACAGCGCCAGAGTTAAAAATTGGCTGAAAGAAAAGCAAAGCCAGAGCCTCAATTGGTGTGGTAGCTAACATGTGAGCCCTGGTAAGGGTAATAATGAGTTCGAAGCCCACTTGAGGTTCCGAATTTTGCTCATATCTCGGCATTCATGTGGGTAGTTTTTCTTCATTTTTTTTAGCTGGACAAACGATGTTCTGTATCTCTTTATGAAATGAAAGTGATAAAGATTGCGAATGTGAATGATAACACTAATTCGGCCCACTCCTCTTCAGCTTTATTGGACTTAGCAACCATCATTGTAGCGCAAGCCCTTTTCCGAAAACTATTTGCATAGGACGTATTCGATCCAACGAGCAAACGCTTTAAAAGGTTCTTCTCATATTCGTCATTTGTTCGCTCTCAGTTTGTCCAAGAAGTTATCGATCCATCAACTCAGGAAACGTATATGAACTTATATACGAAACACTTCAGATACATAATCTATAATCTTACTACGAGATGATTATTTTAGATGAAGCCTGTTATTATTTACGCATTGACGACCGTATGACCCACATCTAATTCATACGATGTGAAACTAATGAACATAACATCTCCAGCTTTTAACAGTTGTAACCATTAGTGAATTTTATGAACTGAAATAAAAACTTCTAAAATTTTCAGATCTTTGCCAAGAATAAAACAAGTTTTCTTATTCTTCCAGGGTGAGATTTTAATTTTCTGGAACCGAAGGGACGAGTTTCCAGCTTTTTCCGATTAGTATTACATTTCGAACATCAACGTAAACAAGCGGTATTTCCTTCCACAAGAAAACAGTGGTGGTTCCCATCCTCAATGCATCGTATTCGCCTTTGTGATTGAAGCACATGCGCATCATTTTCACTCTTTTGGGAATTTTCATACAGAGATAGAGCCTCTTATACTTTTCATCTACTCTGATCATGGAGAAGTTAGTTGCATTTATCGAAATTAAGTAAGAAACTAAATGTTTAAAAACTCGAGAAATTACTTCAGTCGCCTTCTTTATCTGATCGTTATGGACGATGGGTTTAGGCGTGTGGCAGTCGGATTCGCATTCGTCTCTTCCTTGTTCACCTTCCACTTCGCGACAGTGAACTAAACGAGCAGCTGTTGTTGTCAACCAACTTTCATTTCACAATAATTTGTTTTCCAACGGACAAACCATCCTGCAGGAGTAGGTATGAAACAATCTTGTTCATAGTGTCATATTATCAACGGACAATCAGTACGATCAACAACTGTCCGGTATGAAAGGGTATCGCCGAGTGTCGTTAGCTCGCTTGAGAGCTGCTCTGCTCCAGAAGATTCGACTCGGTACGAAAACGAAGACACCGAATCGCTAGGACAAACAATTGTGGTCCATCGACTCGGAGAATCGGTTGAGAAGAAGACGAAGACATCGAAACATTAGTCCAGTACGATAGTGTTATAAACGGCTGGAATTCTTTTAAAAATTATTGGTCAAATAGTTTGACCCTTCAGCTTGGCTAGCTGAAGAGTTAAGGATCAAATACTAAAATAATTGGAAAGCCTTAAATTGAAACGTATAGTTGAACGCCACCATAAGTAATTTGGCACATATAGATGGTACACAGTCAACACTCGAATACTCCAGAAACATTCGGGAGGATTCAGTTGAGGAAGACTACTTAAATTTGGACTCATCACTCAAGTTAAATTGAACATTGTGAAATATAACTTCAATAATGTTGAGATAATTGCAAAACTCCGGACCGCAGGTGTATGCGGTGGGGAACGAACGCGCTATTGTCCTTTCCCTGTGTTAAAAAGAGTAGGCAGTAAATAATAAGCTAAAATTGTGATTATCACTGCGTCCCCAGCTTAACTGGGTTCGTTGCCGATTTGGGCCCCCCAGATCAATTCCGCTGACGGGTGATTGATGATGGCAAAAGATCGATAGGACTAGCTGAGAGACAGACGAAACGAAGGACCCGCGTGGTGTGGTGGTGAACGCGCTACTCTCCGGAAAGAACAATGGCGTGTTCGTTCCTCACCGCATACACCTGCGGTCCGGAGATTTGAAAATATCTCAGCATCATTGAAGTTATATTTCACAATGTATACGCTGCCGTTAAAGAGAGT